TGTAATTTCTTCCAATGTTATCATCTTTTTTGTCTTTCTGTATACCTACATAGTTTATTATATCTTTATCAGTCGAAATCCGGTTATTGTCTCCCCTTTACTTAATTAGTCGATAATTATTACACTTCCCGCATCCCAGAAGATAGAGGCCATTATTTTCCAGCGGATGCAGACACCTTGAATCTTGGCTGGCGGAGGAGACGGTCTTTTCCACACCTTGCTTTGGTTTTTCGTCTCTGTTGCAAAATGGTGTACCAACATTTCACGTACGGTTACGAAACGAGCGCAAACATAATCTGGATCTACTTCAATTATTGCTAAATTTAGCTTTGAAATTACTTAAAATGCGAGGAACACAGCGCGCGGCCACCTTTTTGAATTTTAAGGTATGAGTTAAAATAAATTGAATTATCCCAAATCTCAACTAAAATAATAGATGGTCACGCGTCGATCTAACTTCTCAATTTCTTCCATTTTTTAACGTGTTCTTGCGTAGCGGCTGTTGGCCGCCCGGAGCGAGTGTAATAGTTGCAGGTGGTTCTGCCGCGCTTAAATTCAGCGCACAAGTATTATTACACTGTAGAATAAGACGAATCACTGTTTGCTAAAGTAGACTGCAGTTCTTGAAAAACACTTTATGTAGAATCATTTTTCAGGTAGAAATATTTAATAACCGTACTATGTTCAAGTTTCTCCATTTTGCATACTAATCAAATTCCCGCCAAATGTGTAATTTGAAAAAGAAATTGCGTATAGTTTTTAATTTAGTTTTTTCTGGCCTGGGCATTTCTAAAACTCATTGATAAGTGTCCTATTCCTAAAAAATATTGATCAACTTGGTAGATTGCTTCATAGGGGGATATTTAGTATAATTTTCACGCTTGGCAACTCCAGCTTCTTATTATTTTAAGTTGTTATCAGAAAGATGCCATAACATGCTTCAGTTTCTCTCTGTTGCCTTTAACGACATCAGTGGGATGATATGGAGTAGTGGATTGATTCTCATACGCCGACACTAGGTACATGGCGACGCAACGCCACTACGAGTACGTTGGTACACTACGGTTGTAACGGATGCGAAAGAGAATTATAAGTATGTCATCATCATCATCATTACAGCCCTACATAAGTCCACTGCTGAACATAGGCCTCCACCAAGGAATGTCACAAAGCACGGTCCTGAGCCACCTGCATCCATTGACTTTCTGCATGTCTTACCAGGTCGTCACTCCATCTAGTGGGGGGTCACCCTACACTTCGCCTACGGGTACGAGCCTGCCACACGAGAACCTTTCTTCCCCATCGGTTGTTGGTTCTTCGAGCTGTATGGCCGGCCCACTGCCACTTCAGCTTACTAATCCGTTGGGCTAAGTCGGTTACTCTGGTTCTACTGCGGATATCCTCATTTCAAAGTTTAGCACGCAGAGAAACCCCGAGCATAGACCTCTCCATAGCTCGTTGAGCGACCTTGAGCTTCCTCATACGGCCAGCAATGAAGGAACACGTCTCAGATCCGTAAGTCATCACTGGCAACACGCACTGGTTGTACAATTTCGTTTTCAGGTTTTGAGGTATGTCTAACGAGAAGATGTGTCGTGGTTTCCCGAACGCTGCCCAGCCGAGTTGAATCCGTCGAATTGACGTCTCGGTTGAAGTTGGACTTACCTAGTCGGACTATTTGTCCCAGGTAAACATACTCGTCAACAACTTCGAGCTTAGTGCTCCCAACAACTACCGGCATAGGTGTGACATGGATGTTAAACATGATTTTTGTTTTGTCCATGTTCATCTTAAGACCAATCCGTTGGGAGACACTATTGAGGTCTTCAGCGTCATGACTATATCGTTGGCAAATCGAAGGTGAGTGATGTACTCGCCATTGACGTTAATACTTTATCCTTTCCAGTCCAGTAGCTTGAAAACGTCTTCCAATGCAGCGGTGAAGAGTTTCGGGGATATAACGTCACCCTGTATTACACCTCTCTGCAGTTGGATAGGTTTAGTACTCTGATTCTGTATTCGAATAGCCATCGTAGCCTTACTGTACAAACACTTCAGCACTTCGATATACCGACAGTCAACTTGGCACCGCTAAAGGGACTGTAGCACCGCCCAAATTTCGACGGAATCAAAGACTTTCTCATAGTCCACATACGCAAGGCAAAGTGGCAGATTATACTCCTCTGTTTTCTGTACAATTTGCCGAAGGGTATGTATGTGGTCTATGGTACTAAAGCCTTTTCGGAAACCGGCTTGTTCGGGAGGCTGGAAGTCGTCAATTCTGCGCGCGAGACGATTCGTAATTACTCTCGAAAACAGCACGTAGACGCGGCTCAGAAGGGAAATCGGTCTGTAGTTCTTCAAGAGAGCGTTGTCGCCTTTCTTGAAGAACAAGACCACCGCACTTTTGTTCCACGCCTCCTGAGTAGTGCCACCATGGAGGACGGAATTAAAGTATGTATATATATTTAATAACATTTAGAAGTATGGTATAAAATTGGAGAATCCATTTCAAGATCATCTATTTACTTTTTTACTTACTTGTAGGCTTTTTTTTTGCTTTATTTGAAAATAATCGTGCAGCTAGAGCTAGTACAATTACAGGGTCCTCACTTAAGATCACAGCGCATTTTTGTACTCTAGCCTTTTTATTTGAAGTTAGTTACAGGTGTCATGGGCTAAGTAATCATTCCTTCATTACAGCTTATACCTGTTGAACATGGTTGGCATCCCATTTCGTGTTCCAGTTTTCCTCTGTCGTCTCTTATTACGACACCCACGGGATTGTAACAGCGTAGTGGATTATCTTACGCCTACACTACACGCCGATCTTCATTTTAGTATTATAAAAAGGAGGAAGGGTCCAATTCGGCTATATTTTAATGTGGCTCCTAATATTTCCGTCTGTTAAAATTAATATACTAGTATTATATATCTTACCGACTTACCAATCAAACATTAGTTATGTGAAATGATCATTTTTAATCAAGAATATTTTGTGAATATTTACTAAGTAGTAATGTATAATTTTTGATTTCTGCTCGGCTTAGCAAAGAGTTTTTGCGCTGGCTGCGGGCCGCGATTACGAAAAAAAAAAATCTTATTTGTAGTTTTCCATTAAGTCTAATATATTTAATTTTCTGATGAAAAAAAGCTAGTAATCGGGGAATAATAAATGTTTTCTTGCTTTCCTGCAATTTTATTGAAAAATTGAGGTTCGACCCTTTGCGGCGTCAACGACGAATTATTGTATTTGTACCTATGGCTTACGAATAACTGTTCCGGGTCTGGACGTTTGTATTTGTGAAATTTATGTAACTTTCTTCATACGTGGTAGAGCCCTGATGCACCTATATTAGTAGTATAATTGTAGCACGAATGGGTTGGCTCGACCGGGAAGGACCGCGCTCTCACAGAATACCAGCGTAAAATAACAGCTTAACACTGCTGTGTTTCGTATGGTTAGTGAAGAGAACCGGAAACCCATTTTACTGGAAAATAGGCATTCCATCTTAGCCCTCACGGGTGACGACGCATCTGCATTTTGATTCTTTATTGAGGATAAATGTAGATGTCTATGGGTCACAGTAACCACTTACCATCAGGTGGACTGTGTGCTCGATTGTCACCCTATCGTATAAAATAAAAAATAAAAATATCTAAACTGCTTCGATGATGCAGTAGAAATAAATGTAACTTTTTTTAAAGATTAAATTTATTGTAGTAGCATTTCTAAATAAACGTCAACCAGTCCACAAAATGTTACAATAACTAAAAGCCAGAAGGGCTTGCGTCGATGGCACCAAGTCGTAAGTTGGATGCTTCGCTTATTGTGCTTTCAATCTTATCGATAGCTTACTCTTTCCGTGAGCATTTTTATAGTATTTATATTATTATATAAATATTTTATGTAGTGATATTTCACTATTTTATTTTGGTTTCATTAATGAGCATTCCTATAACTACAGTGCATTCGCTATTGTGTGGAGGATACTGCTTTGAGCGGTATTACCAGAATTACACTACTGCACACCGTCTAGCCCAGGGATTCCCAAAGTGGTCGATATCGACCCCTCGGGGTCTAAGCCTATTTTTTTATCTTAATATGATGCTTCCATCTAAGTCTCCCTCCTCTGAATAGAAGCTAAGATACTATAAGAATTAATAGATAAACAGATATTTTGCCTAGTTGTTTATGTGGGAATACCACTTTTTGGTCTTTATTTTAAAGTGAACTAACCTCATTATGGTCAGTTTTTTTACCACTGAATTGAAAAATGTACAAAAAGTACGACAATAAATGAGCTCCGAAATTTAATCATAATATTGTTTCGATGTAAGCCCCCAACATTAAGTAGGTGACTTATATACGAATTATATGAAACAACTGACATTGTTATATTTTCGGTACTTAGGTTTCATGCACATGGAATATTTTTGTATATTGCATGTATATTTACTGATTGAACAGTAAATTTGTTGCAACGAATTTTATCATAATAAATCGATTTGTTTTCACCTGAAAGCCATATTATTGTAATAATACATTAATCATTTAGTATTTGGAAGTGTAACAATTAAATGATAAACGGCTTTCACGTTGTGTTGGCCGGCAACTACCATAATATTTTACATGAATCTTTGTATCATTATGGAACACAGCACCAATACACTTGACTTTCTTAACATTTCTTGTTTCTTGGAAAACAGCGACGGAAATGAGACTTTCTCTGCAAGTGATAATTAAACCTACTTACTTATAAAAAAGATTATTTACACCTACTAAGAACTAGGGACTTCAAATTGTTAGTTTTTTATTTGGGATATTTTTTAATTAATTTTTTTTTTGAATTAATTTTTATGTAACGAACAAAGTAAAATAATTACATATTTGATCATATATATTTTATCACTGGTAACACCTAAAAAGAACGCATTCCGTTTGATAAATGCCTCAATCTTTTTAAAGGGAAGTAAATATTTTTCTTATCATTGCTAACCGTGAGGCTGGCGAGCTCCAAGTGGAGAGGCTAGGTGTCGAAGCAGCAAAGTCTTCTTCTCGTTTGCGGCCGCCGCCATGCTCCTTGTAGTCGCGGAAACAACGCTTGCAGCGCGTCGGCCACCGTACCTGCGGGTGGAACCCCAGCGGGCACATTGGGTCGCCCTTGGCCAGTGGATACAAATGATGCATTTTGTTTACACCACACTTCTATCAAATGCACAAATCACAAATGTCATCGGTTTTAACTAAATGCGAATTACTGATACAATGCCCGAACTTCAATCACATTCTTTTACGTTCATTCGACGTGTTTACATAATTTATCCAGACCATAGTCATATGCTCGCGTTTACTATACATCACTCAATAATGTTTATGGAATGAGTTTATGGTTCTAGGCTATAAATAATAATTTATTTATTTAAGTACGTGGTCCAGGCGCTCGTATGTCTGCACCGCACTAGCAATAAAAATATCCCGCTGCTAGCACCGAACCGGGCGACCTAAATCGACTGCTCTGAAGTCTGAAATCTCTATTAAGAACTACCCAAAGTTTCTTGACGTGTTAATGGTCCAATATAAGCGTTCATACGCGAAACGTCGATTCGTAGTAAAGCAGTTGCACTCGATTGCGTGAGCGGGAAATAAAGAGATTGAATGTAAGAGTTCTGACGACAAGTGCGGATTAGAGCGGACGCGGCGCAAGCGGCATACGGGCCGGCTCTCCGGGCACTGGCGGCTGCGCGGGCACTTTGCCAACCTCGCCAACATCGCCAGAGCTCGCTATGTCTGCTGTGCCGTTTATTACACCATACGCATCTGAATCGCACGCATTCTCGCGGACAATAAAAATAAAACAATTCCTAATAAATTGGATCGAAGTATAGCGCAGATTTAGAGCCACGTGTTGCACGTCTGAACGCAATGCTCTGAGACGCACAGAGTAGGTACATTATGGTGTGATGTATCGTGACGCAATCGTCAGGGTGATCTCGCGCTTTCTACGCGTTCATCCAAAATAGACTCTAGGGTGAATTATGGGCACAAACATCCGAATCACGTCGGCGATGAATTCTTTTGTAATTTTAAAATTCGACGATTCTAATGTCAGCGCAGTAGAAAAAGTTATAAGGTTATCCAATAGGAAATTAGAAGCAAAGGTATTTACTAAATCATATACAAAATAATCCCAGTGGTGGATTATCTTTAAGGCAAACTAGGCACGTGCGTAAAGGCGATTATACAAGCGAAGATTACGAAGGGGAAAGTTTTAAAAGAGAAAAAATTAAGTCTACTGATTACTCCTACATCGCTGTCAATCTCTCATCACGTTTCTTATTCATACCTACCTGTTACGTGTCCTCATTATTTTTCAACTAAATTATATTATAAATTATACATATTATAGTTTATTTGCAAAATAACTAGTTATAATTTATACCTAATATATGACCGCTAGAGGGGCGTCGATGAGGTGCTAGCCTAGGGCGCTGTCGACATTTAATCCGCCTCTATATCCTTCTTTTGTACCTTCCTCTTGGTGTTACAGTTTCCTGTCTGAGAAGGTATTTATTTCCTCTCCAAAATTAAAAAGTATGAAATTTATTATTCATTTGCAGTCTGTAACATTTCTTTTTGTTAAAAAGTTAAAGTTACGGCCTATATACGTCCTACTGCTGGGCATACGTCTTCTCTCATTCCTGAGAGGGTTTTAAGGCAAGAAAATGTCCGCCGCGCTGTCCCAATGAATGAGTGGTGAACTTCACATGTCTTCGAAATATTTTTTCTTATTTCTCAGACATGCAGGTTTCCTCACGATGTTTTCTTTCACCGCAGAGTACGTGGTAAAAAACACTTAAAATTGCAATTAACGGCGGTCGGCGGGCATCGAACCCGGGTTGCTCACGTACTGTGAAATTTACATCGAGCGCTAACCATCTGAGCTACCACGGCTCCCAGTTTTTAGTCCAATTTTTTCTGTAAAATTTCCTAAAGGGGCAATTACGTACATACAGGGTTTGTTGCTTGTATGTACTTTCATTTAAAAATGTACGTATCATTTTTTTTCATCATTCTACCATTTTACACTAAATGTGTAATTGTGAGAAATCGCATTTACGAGTATAGATTTATTTATTTAGACTTCATACAATATGACGTATAAGCGGAATTAATGACTGAGGCATTCTCTACCAGTCAACCTTAGGGTGATGCAGAGATAAAAATATGAAGTAGGTAAGTGTGTGAAACGCTAAACGACAAGAGTATAAATTAAATTATATAAACATAAAACAAAATGATACATATACCCATACATAAACTTACATTTCAAAAATTATTTACTACATGCATAGTATTATATATAAATTATGTACATTAAAATAATAAATTACATACATTATATATTTATATAAATAGGTACATAAATAAATACTACTGATGAGATTATTCTGCCCGTTTATTGTAATGTTCGCGAACTTTCTTCTTGAATGCATAACGATTATTAGCCGTTCTAATTTCAAGAGGGGGAGATATTATAATTTAAAATCAAAAATGTTGTACAATCGACTTCAATATATATTATTAATAATTACTCAAAAATTATTGGTCAGACCTTGATCAAATTTATATGGGACTACATGAAAAGCACCAGTCTTAAAATAAAAAAAAGAATCATCGAAATCGGTTCATGTAGAAAAAAGTTATGAGGTAACACATAAAAAAAAATACAGTCGAATTGAGAAGCTTCTCCTTTTTAAAGTCGGTAAAAAATGGAAAATCAGTCGAATATCAAAATACAAAGGAAACAATTTCGTTTAATCAAATAAACAAGCGCATTCATAAAGTTTTACATATCCTATTAACTATGTTCGAACTCAATATAGGACTCAATGATCAATGATAAACATATATTTTAGCTAGTTTACTTTCTATATGAACATAATAATATATAGGATGTTTCAAATGAGTAAAAAATGGACTTTGTTGCTGCCACTACAACACTAAGAAAAGGACTAAGAAAGGCTATTGAAAAATAATTTGTAACACAAGAGTATTTTAAAATTTATTTCAATAATTAACAATTATTCTTACTCTTAAAATATCTCAAACTTAAAATAAAAATTCGGTTGATTACATGGTTACTTTAACATTACTTATAGAAATAAATATAAAAAAAAATATATATAAAATTGTTGTTATGTTGAAGAACGTTAAATGATATAGTAATAATCGTTTAGCACAATGTTTGACTTTAACTTGTGATGTATATAAGTAAATAATGGCTTATATCGATAAAATTGACACATTTCAACTTTATAATTATCACATTTCATGTATCAAAGGTTATGAACATGTTTGTTTACTTATGACTAATATGATATGCGAGCTACTGTCCTATTTGCACCAAAGAGCGTGAACCTTTTGTAATGATTTGTACTTTATTGTCAACAGACTTAACAGAAATCTCCTTCGTAAAGAGGCTCGTCTTCTTTCTTATCATACACAAGAGTCTTGTAAATGACCTCTTCAAAATGCAGCGCATTCAGTCCTTTTGGTTCGGCAACTTTAATTTTTACATCTCCCGGATACAATATTTCGCCTTTGTTCTTTGTGCTTCCCATCACTAGCGACTTCTGAAGTTTATCAATGCATGGTATTTCTGAAACAGAATATTATTAATGTTTTGTATTTATACGAGCATATGTTTCAAAGTTCTTCCAGATCATACTCTTGCTACTACTCGTACTAAACACAACAAGGAAAATAGTACGATTTTCCTTGTTGTGTTTAGATCTCAAACGTGATTTAAATCTTTATTTTTCACACTTCTTAAAGTAAACTTGCGAATCCTTACAATTGATTCTCAGTGACATAACTTTAGTCGTCTTTCAAACCAATAATAGTGTTTGCGAACATTAAAAACTAAATAATAAATTACAAATTCATATTAACAATGTCAACAGTTTTTCTTAATTACGAGACAGTGTTGTCTGTAAATAGATATTTAATGCTGCTGTGTTTCGTATGGTGAGTGTAGAGAATTGGAGACCCTTTTTACAGGAAACGAGGCACTCCATATTAGTCCTCAGAGATGATTACGGATCTGCATTTTGATTCTTAATCAAGGATAAATGTAGATGTCTATGGCCCACAGCAGCCACTTACCACCAGGTGGGCTGCGTGCTCGTTTGTCACCCTTATTCTATAAAAAAAAGATGCGTGTCCGGCAATGGACTTACGGGTTGATGATGAAGAAGTATTGAAGGGAATAAGTTTAAAAAGGTTTTCCTGAGTTTCCATTCTTAGATACTTAACGACATTCGCGTGATATTTTTGTACATCCAAATTACACGATACAATTATATGATACAAAGATTAAACAGGTAAATACCAACCTGACGTGACAACTTTTTTTATAGGCGTTCCAAGCGCTGCTTCTATCACTCTTACATCTCGTACGAGCTGTTGGAACTCGGGTGGCGTCAACGAACACACGTGGTCGGTGCCTTTCATGCTCTTGTCCAATGTTATATGCTTCTCCAATACCTGAAAGTATTAAGAAGCTATAGAGCTTCCTGAACAATTAAAATTTTATGTTATTAAAGCATACGAAGATTTTGCAATAAATTTAGCTTTAAAATGTAATTCAGGCATCATCATAGTTAACAGATTTCTAAGTCTGCAGCTGGTCTTAACACAGCGCTGCTTTTCCAGGAATGTGGCAGTTGGTAAATAAAACTCAAATTTGTTCATGTTTATCGCGTTGGGAAAGGTTGTTCTCCTTGCCATTTTTGGCTACAGCGTTTTCTTTGAACGCTAGATATGTTCCAGGTTGCAGTAGGCTCTTGTATAACTTCCCCCCCGAACGGGTTCCCGCCTTGTCGTGGCGGGGGGGCTTAGTAGCCGTGGCTTGGTCACCCACGGTGAACAAAGAGGAACCCCTTGGCTGGCCCGTGCTGTAGGGCCGGCCCGAGGTGGCCGCTCCGAGTGGGCTTGGCGAGTCCACTTCGGATGTGTGTCGGGGGGCTGCGGTGAGAGGGGAGTCCGCACCCTCTACCGCTGCAGCCGAGGTGGAGTCGCGGAGGAAGAGGAGTGTTGGTATGGCGATGCGCCACTCGCCCTATCCTCCGCGACTCGGGCGGGGCCGTACCGTCGATTGATGCGGTGGTGGTGGGGCTGCGGTGGGAGAGGAGTGTCGGTATTGCGATGCGCCGCTCTCCCTACCCTCCGCAGCCGAATCTTGGTTGGCGGCGGAGCCATAGACCAGATCCGCCGCTGGGGCCGGGAAGGCCGGTGCTTCATAGTGCTAGTTTTTCCTGGCCCCATGGCCTTCGCGCATCGGACACGGGGGCGTCCGTTGCGCATGTTAAGTTGGAGGCCGAGGAGGAGGGCGCGCCATGTGTTCTGGTGCGCCTTACCTGAGAGGGAGATGGGGGAGGAGTAGTCCTCTACCGAGGAGGGGCCGCCATGGGGCGGCCAGCGCAGGTGGGGCCGCGGATGTGTGCGAAAGCGTTCCCGTGGCCCTGCCAATATGCGACGAGGGTGGAACACCATGGGGTTTTAGTCGGTGCGAGTCCGACATAACCCGTCCTTGCCCCCGCGAGGCGGGTATGCGTAGGCATTTCCCCATGTAAAAAAAAAAAAAAAGGCTCTTGTATAACTTACGAAAACCAAACTTGGTCATAAAGATACAATGACCGGTGAAGCAGTAAATTTGATTTGAGATATTGTATGTTTACGGGGCTTGTATCAAAATTTCCGGAGATGGCGCTTAGCGTCAATGTCTTTCAAATGAGATAACTCGAGTACACGTGCACTAGATATGCTGCTTAAGAGCCTGTTGTAGAGCTGTAATAAGGCTGTTTTTGGATGGATTTTCCGCCGCCAGAGCCACGTAGTCCGTCAACCAGGAGAGTACACCGTGTGTTGATTAATTTGTATCATAATTTGTATCAAAAGATCTTAATAGTTCATCGCTGGGACATGGGACTCTTTCGTTACGCTTAGTAGACTGATTGACAACCGCATTAGACGTTTCGTACCTATGACGTTATTCACCCATCGCCGATCTAAGTACAATAAATTGTACGCTTAATATGAATTCAACTAACAGGTTACAATTATGATAGATTCATAATTTAAGTGATCCCAAATCAGTATTTCATAGTTTTTTAAATTACGAGCACCATAAGTGTTGTTTCTTACCAGTGGCGTAGCTATGTAACCAAGGGCCCCGGGGCAAACATGAAATTGGGAACCTATTTGAACTAAACTAAAAACTTTAAAGATGCAAAACTACTTCATCATCAGCTCCTTGTTGCCCACTGCAGTCCATAATAAAGCAAATCTACTTACTACTTAGTAGAGCTGTAATGAATGAGTGGACCAGCTTGAACCAAGAAGATACCGCGAACTTAGAAACAAACAGTAGAAGTTTACTTCGCCTAGTAAGTGCAAGTGGTCGGAGGCCTAACCCCTCTCCCCCTTAACATGTAGTGTAGTTAAATAAGAAACCATCCCAGGAGGGTACCAGCACCCTTAGTATTGGAGAATCCCTGGCTGAGCATCCACGCCCTGCTACCCTACTCTTTCTTAGCGCGGGGCGAAATTCCACACAAGATTAATTACTGCTCGTGGCAAGTAGAGCAATAAGATAAAGGTGACCCATGTCACGCTATCCGTGAATTTCTGCAACATCAGGGGATTTCATTCGAACGTTAACAAAGTCCACTAAATACCATCTGAAGACGGCAAAGCCGACCTTTCACTTTCTAACCGAGACGCAGGCAGGTTCTATCCGGTCGATACTTCTCTCCTATCCGGGGTACAAATTAGAACACCTTTGTGCCTCGGGCTGGAGTTTGCGTATACGTCAGAGAGGAAATCTGTTCTCGACACCTCGGCAGTTTTGAAGGTCAGCGACGACCATCCTCGCGTCTACGGGTGCCTCTACAGGTAATGCCGATACAGACCCACTCATCAACCACGTCCAAATTGCTGCAAACTCCGTGCTACAACAGGCACCATCTGCAGAGATCGTGATCCTAGGTGATTTTAACGACCACCTCGCTGAATGCCTTGGTTCTCGTTTAACCGATCATGCGGGAAGATCTGTTTATGACTTTGTCTTGGTATATGGTCCGACATAAATGGTTACTACGCGGATTCTAGATGTGGAGGGACTTGCATCTTCCCTGTTGGACCTTCTGCTGATCGCTCATCCGGATGGATATCAGGTCTCCGTCGACACCCCTCTTGGCTCATTGGACCATTGTCTGATCCGAACTTTGGTACCACTCACACTCCCATCGCGGTTACGTTCTGCAGGTCGCCGCCGTGTTGGAACTATATGTCAGCCCATTGACACAGGATGCGGTCTTTTTTTGCATCCTTCCCTTGAGGACAGGGGAAGGTACGCTTCTCGCCGGATGATCCCAACGTGACTTTGTCACTGATGTGGTACATCAGGGAAAGGAACTCTTTATTATATAATCTGTAGTGCCTGGTTTTGTCGCTCCTGTAAAATTGCATCGCGGTATAATAGAAGTGCTTCACCAGCGCTGTTAAAAATAAGTATAATTTCGCCTTCAGGTCGGTACAATACGGTTTACACAGCGCTCGGTAGCACTACTCTCTCTAGACGTCTAGTGGGCCTGATGGAGTTCCTTCCATTGTGCTGAAGACGTGTGCTCCCTAGTGGGCACTGGTCGTAACGTGTCTTGTCTAAAACTCTTTCTCCCTAGGCGTAGTCCCGAACTCAAAGGCGACAGCTTTAGTGCAACAGATTTCTAAAAAATAACCGAAAAGCAACCGCTCAGACGTATTCAACTTGTTCTCCAAAATAATGGAAACATTGTAAACTGCCTCTCAGAAATCGGTGGAGGCAGAGAGGGAGACCCTGGCCGCTAGTTCGGACATAGCGAAGGCCTTCGATCGGGTTTGACTCAAAGCGCTTCTTTCGAAGCTCCCTTCCTATGGGCTTCCAGAGAGTTTGTGCAACTGGATCACCAGTTTTCTTCCAGATTGGAGCAACAAAGTCGTAGTAGATGGTGCAAGCTCCGTTTACATCTACTATCACCTTCGCCGTTTCTTCTGCTTATCAATAATATGTTGCAAACCAGTAACGTGCACTGGTGATGCTTTGTACACCGGCTGTGCCTATATTTCTCGGGAAAACGGAAATCGAGTCTTTGCCGGATAAGGTCTCGGATTGGGGCTAAATATAATTAAGTTCAATGCCCAAAAGACACAAATTTACGCGTTTACCACTAAAAAGAACGCATTTGACGTAATTCCTCAATTTCAGGGCACTCGTTACCCACCCCTTGTTACCTCAACCAGTATCGGAATCTTCGGCGTTGACATATCGAATAACGTGCAGTTTTGTGGTCACTTGGAAGGGAAGGCTGAATTAGCCTCTAAAAAGCTTGGCGTGCTCATCAGAGCGGGACAGTATTTTATGTCGGCACACTGCTTGCAGGCAGCTTAAGAAGCAGGTTCGGCCTAACATGGAATACTGTTCTCATCCCTGGGCCGGGGCGCCCTAGTACCAGCTCTTTCCACTTGACCGCATTCAGCGCAAAGTCGCTCGAACGACGAAGATGAAAGACGAGACGAAGAGATTTTGCATCCCTTTGCATTTTCTATCGCATTTATCACGGGGAGTGTTCAAAGGAATTGTTCGGATTTATTCCCGCCACAAAATTGCATCAACGCATTTCAGAAATCCATATCATCGGGACGTCTAACGGTCCATTACTGTCGAACCGATATGACTTAGGGACTTTCAAGAAAACGAGCTTACTCCTTTCTAAAAAGCCGGCAACGCGCCTGCAATTTACTTGGTGTTGTATTTGTTAATAGGCGGTGATCGACAAGCCATCAGGTGAGCCGCATGCTCATTTGTCCCCTCTTCTATATAAAAAAGACAATAAAACGAAGTAGACAATTATTTTCAACAATGTTATATTTATGTTCTGGAAGTGGGAGTAAGTTTTGTGATTTCAGTTCGAACCGTTCGCGGTCAAGAGCCAAAAAATTAAAAATCGAAAATTCTTTATACAGCTAGGATAGTACATAATTTATCGAACGTCGTTCTTGAAGGCCGAGGGGCCCCTTTAATTTGGGGGCCCCAGGGCACTGCCCCGCCTAGCCCCTGGGTAACTACGCCACTGTTTCTTACCCAGAACCTGAGTCCAACAGTGGATTGTTTATCGTATGAAAAGGTCGATGAAATGAATATGAAACTTATACGAAACTAAAAAACTAATACGTTAGTACGAATAGGTTTTATAAAAGTTTACATTTGTAACGTTAGACACTCCACATTAATTTCTTCTGAAGTGTAGTTGGGACGGTAGTCTTTAATTACATTGTAAGATATTTTATGCGAAAACATAAATACAGCGAAAATTATTTGTTTAAATATATCTTCTTGCAATAAAATTATAATAATGACCATAAAAGCTAATATTAATTAATGAGTTGCGAAGTAAACACCGCGACACGGATATATGAGTATAAATGGTGTTCTATAGAACCATTAATTTAATTTAAAAAAGGAGATATGAATTCTTTTAGGTATGACAATTTGAGTAATAATATCGAATCTTTATTTTGAAATGATTATGTACAGCGTAGGTAATTTACGATATTTAAAAATATAGTATTATGTAAGATTGAAATGTTTTGTTTGTATCTAAGACTATCTATAACCCGGTCACCTCGCGGGGCGTAAATAAAACAATTTTAGATCGAAGACAATTTTACATGTCCGCGAGGAACTCCTGTACTACTTACTGAACAGAGTTCAATGAAATTTTGTAGCTGTGTATTGTTTGGTCCAATTTGTGAGATAGGATAGATTATATCCCAATAAGTGATCCTCAATATTTTTTATTGCGAATTTAAGGACTTTTTATAGGACAAAGTGTCGTTGAAACAGGCAGAACGAAGTCTGCGTGGCCTCCTAAGTAATTGCTATAAAAGTATGCTATATCCTATTACATGACATAGCCACGTACTTGAATAGAAATCATCTAGTTGTTCAAGCGTGATTATACAACTACACAATATAACCAAAACAAACATATTTTTTTTAACATTTTATAATACTAAAAGTAAGTTAAATTTAAAAAGTATAACCTTCGCTCCCAATGCAACAGCGCCCAAGGCCACAGCCGTGCCGACTTCTTGTCCGGAATATCCCACAGGAACGTCGAAAGATTTCATGTAGTCTTGTAGAACTGCTAAATTGCAATCTTCGAACGGCACGGGGTAAGCTGAGATGCAATGCAATAGGCAGAACTGTTTGTGTTGAGCAGATATTATGTCGTAGATCGTTTTGACAGCTTTCTTGTCCACCATTCCAGTCGATATGATCAACGGGACCTTTTTCGACGCGGCATATTTCAAAAACAGCAGGTTGTTCGAGTCGCCGGAACCAATTTTTATAAACGGCACTTTGATGTTGACAAGAAAGTCAAATGACACCTGAAAATTAGCATTGATTCTCAGTTATATGTTTTCTTCGTCGTAGAGACTTATTATACATATTATACGTGGTAGAGCCATGCTGCAGCAATATTACTAGGATAGATGTAGCACGAATGGGTCGGCTTTACCAGGGAAGGATCACGTTCTTACAGAACACCAGCGTAAAATGGCAGCTTGACACTGTTGTGTTTCGTATGGTGAGTGTAGAGGACCGGAGACCCATTTTACTGGAAAAGAGGCATTCCATCTTAGTCCTCACGGGTGGCAACGCATCTGCATTTTGATTCTTTATTGAGGATAGATGTGTGTATCACAGCAACCACTTACCATCAGGTGGACTGTGTGCTCGTTTGTCACCGTATCCTATAAAAAAGAGACATGCTGCGGTTGTAGGTGCATTATGGTTGCAGCACGATGAGTCTGCTCGACCGGGGTAGTACCACGTTCTCACAAGTTAGCATTGTGAAATAGCAGCTTAATACTGCTGTGTTTCGTAATGTGATTATACAGAATCGGAAACTTTTTTTTAGGGCATTCTATCTTAGTCCTCAGGGTTGACAGAGCATATACATTTTGATTCTTAATGGAGGATAGATGTACGAGTGGGTGTCTTTGGGCCACAAAATCCAGGCATCAGGTGAACTTTTTTTTTAAAGTATAAGGATGACAAGCGAGCACGCAGTCCACCTTATGGTAAGTGGCTGCTGTGGCCCATAGACATCTACATCTATACTGGTTTGCGAATCAAAATGCAGATGCGTTTTCAGCCGTGAGGACTAAAATGGAATACCTCTTTTCTAGTAAAAAGGGTCTTCGGTTCTCTACACTCCCCATACGAAACACGCAGCATTAAGCTGCTATTTGACGCTGGTATTCAACTTTAACTTGTGCTCGTTTATCATCCTTATTCTATAAAATATAAGAAATTTGAATTTATGTTTAATTGTAAATAATATAAATTAATGCATGTGTAATGCTTACCATATCCATAGCTGAGGCGGTAAACAGAATGCCGACCTCCTGTGCATATTTGAACAGTTCTCTATATTGGGTTTCTGTAAATTCTAAATGTTTTTTGTGATCGCCGTACGTTTTGCCCCACGAATTGGGATTGTCATAAGGTCTCTCTAAATACTTTTTTGTAAATTTCTCTTTTAAGCAAGTTTTTTGAAATTTCACGCAGCTAGCACCCGAATCCTGTAACACATTGAATAAATGCTATTAAATATTTGTATTAAAATCCTGATAAGAAGACAACACTCTTTTTAATAATAAAAACTTATCTGATAAATGAATTCAAATATCTTTCTTGCTTTGAAAATGTATTGAATGATAGTATATTTTATGTTCTATACAGGTAAGTATGTAATAGATAATCAAGGTGTTGGATAAAGTAGCTGTAGCAAAATAAAATGCCCACAATTGGCTTATCATTGAAGTCATATTTTAAAAGAGAAACATAAGAAACTGACTAAAATAAAATTTGGACACAAAATTGTTAATATCACGACTCACGAGTCGATTAACAACTGATTGCATCTTAGCATATTCAATGTTTCTTTGTTATTTTCATTTACTTAGCGAAAAAGCGAGTATCTGTACACGTACTATATAATGTACTTAAATCCATGTAAGTCGATGTATCAGCGGGTACATATCATAACATTGCGAACTGGTTGTGACGCTGTGAGGTACGGTAAAAATACTCGCTTGATGTCCCTTTGTTTTGTTTAAAACAATAACACAAAGCGGTGGTTAACTCAAAAGGCATAGGTTTCTACCGTAAATCTGTGTGTTCGAAATTTATAAATATCACTTACCTTGGCTGCTTTTATCAACTTTTTCGCAATTTCAATGTCACCTTGATGGTTCTGTCCGACTTCAGCTATAATAAAACAGGGATTGTTGCCGCCAACTTTGATATCTTCGGTTATCTTCAATTCGACCATCTTCACAGCTGTTGAATGCGTTCCATAAAAATAAATAAGATGGTACCGGTTTTGACGCGCACTGGTCGTAGAAACTCAGTAAATGGACATGTACGTAAGGTTTATCGACCTCTTGCTCAGGATCGGATCGGATTGTGTAAATAAGGTCAATTCAATATAAAAGCGAGCTGCACGTTGCACGGTCGCCACACTAGTGCGCGCGCGCCTCGCCTCAGTACCCGCTTCGCATGATAATTGATAAAAACCAGTATGTTCGGCGACGCCGATCATGACCACGCTGTCACAAGGCCCGGCGATAGGTGAAACGTGACAAAGCACTCAAAACATTGTATTGGACACAAACATTCGTCATTCGTGTTTGTTTACTCCTTCATGCACTGTTTGAATTGTTTTGTTTGTTTTTAATAACAATTATCATTTAGTAGCTCAGTTTGAAAAATTATAAATTATCAATAACAAGTAAGAACAAAGAAAACTATTAAAAGTCTGATATTATATTATTTAAGTCGAGTTACTTAATATGTGTAAACAGCGGCTTTATCAACTGAAGAAAAATAATGATACTGGAGAACTAGTTGCGATAAATATATTTTGATTGCGTCAGAAGTCAAAATACAAACGGGCAAATGCTATTTTGTTATAAATATATATGGGTATCTAGAACAGTCTTTAACAAATTAAACTGTAGTCTTTTATAACATTGAATCTTTTTACGAACAATATATGTACATTCTTTATAAGCAACTACAGTAAGTACATATGTTCGATGACGTTTTTCTCTCCATAAAAAATAGTTTTACTTGACTGAAAAGTCCTGGACTAAATAATAAGAAATAAAAAATTTCGTTATTTTTTACAAACATTTCCCTTCGTTCGATCCTTAACACCTTTCTTCCAAAATTTCAATTATTAGTCGTCGGAATGACGTGGGCTCAGAGTGACACTCGCATTGTAATGCATAAGATGAACACTAGGGCTTCTTAATATTTCTCTTATCATTCCAAAGTAAAAACCATATCGAAGCACTCCTTTGTAATCCCACCAAATGCACAGCATAGACATCACAGTCGATGTTTTTGCTGCGTTGACGACTATTTTTTCGGGACAGCTAAAGTTTATCGTGTATTGCTTTGGGACAGAATCCAAGTTTCATCCACCTCCCACTACATCTCCAAAAAAACTACTTTCGTTGATTCGTCGGTGAGTTGATAAGAGATCCATCGCGATGAATTTTTCCTCTTTTTTAATATAATAGCTGAGATTATGCAGCTGATTGTGATGCTGAATTCGAAGCGTGTTAGCAGCTAAGTAACATGCCATCTCCGCAGAACAGGATTATCTCTACTCTACTACGTGGTGTACACTGAAAGTTTTGCGTACCTCATAAGTAAACATATATATTAACTGCTTTTCACAGTATTCTCAATTATATTTTAAACACTTTTTTATTCGTTCAAACCATTTCCGAAAACATGAGAACCGTCGATTTGAGGGTATGTTTTATGCGTGCTGGTTGAAAGCTATTACCACTCCTTTTGGCTCCGCAAATATCAAAATGTCAAGCCTCGCATTAAATGTTTGATTTTTTGAAAATAAAGAAATCGCATTATGCGAGGTCTGGTCTTCGTGTGGAATGGGACATAAACTCTATCTTTTCAGAAGCTAAAAATGACTTTGTCTTGTTCGCGGTGTGCGCCGAAGCATTGTCATGGTGCTGTAGGATGCGACTTTTTGGTCGTTTATCCCTAACTTTTTCAGACACTGGGCTAAAAAGGTGCTGATCTGGTGGTATCGGGTAGACAGGATCCGCCTATAAAATAAAAACGTAGTCATTTTTCCCACGCTTCTTGCCTGCCTCAATGTTGTTAGTTTGCTGTCGCCTTCGAAACATTCATACAAAAGACTGTTGCTTTCTTTCCGGAATATAACCATATATTATCCATGTTTCATCTCCTGTGTTTATAACATACACAACATTTAAAAGTCCGGGATCATACTTTAATATCATTTTCTACCGACTTCTATAAGGAGGAGGTACTTAATTCGACTGTATGTTTTATTTTTAATGTGTGTTACCACATAACTTTGTTATACGTGAACCGATTTCGATGATTCTTTTTTTTATTTGAATGTTGGTGCTTCTCATGTGGTCCCATATGCATTTGATCAAGGTCTGATCAATAATTTTTGTGTCATCCTTAATAATATATATTAAAGTCGGTTGTACAAAATAACTAGATGGTCGGTATGGTATGTGTATTTGTATTATTATAAGTTAGTATAATATATTAATAGTATCTTAAATGATAACATAATTACTGTAAATTTCCTGATCTAATGTGTTTATACCTGATTTATCTCAAATTTACATATTAATAATATACTTAGTGATTAGCTGATTAGTTAATAAAGATATAAATCTACCATTATTATCAATAATAGTTTTAATATAGATTATAGTTTATAATTAATAGACCACAAAAACTAAACCGTGTGTGGTTTCTGCTGTAGGACTAAAAAAATTCATTTTGTTTTGTTTTATATATTTTGAATAAATAAGTATAAAAAAAACATAATTTTTAATTATTATCACAGCTTTTTTGTTTTTAGGTGAGTTCATGAGGAATCCATTGGCAACAAAGTTTTCTAAGCTTTTTTTTCAGGTTTCCGCTTTTAAATGTTGATGTCATTTTTTTTAATTGATTTTGTAATTTGCATTTTATACGTGGTAAAGCCACAGAATGGGTCAGCTCGACCGGGATAGGACCACGTTCTCACATAATACCAGCGTAAAAAGCAGCCTAATGCTGCTGTGTTTCGTATGGTGAGTGTAGAGAACCGGATACCGTTTTTACTGGAACCGGGGCATTCCGTCTTAGTCCTCAGAGGTGACAACGAATCTACATTGTGATTCTTAATCGAAGACAGATTTAGATGTATGTCAGCCACAACGTCTACTTACAATCAGCTGGACTGTGTGCTCGTGTGTGTCACTTATTCTATAAAATAAAATAAAAATAGTATCTTGTTTTAAAAAATATGAAATTTGTAATTCGAACATTTATGAGCCAGGAGGCCAAGAGCGCAGAACTTTCAGTATGCCCTATGTGTTCCCTCATTTTCATAGTCCAATAAGATGGTAATCCGTCACGACTGGCGAGAGAGATTAGGCGCAGGATTAACGGCATTACGTGTTTTCCGAGGTTGGGACTGAAACAACACTTTTCTGACTCCGGATTAAGAAATTCTTGAGAGAAATATCCATTAACTAATTTTTTAGTCCGTCCGAACTTCGAACCCAGGACCTCATTGTTAGGCAGTCGCGCTTACTACCACAAGACCAACGAGGTGGTAAAAGGCACCAAAAGTTCGTTGAACTTGGGTGAAACTTGCCTCCTATCAACTTCCGTCCTAAGATCAGGGATCGCTTTGGTCCATTGCTATGTAGTACTTTTCTGTTGGCTGAGCTATAATATATATTATACCTTTTAAATTTATCTACATTTATTGTCGATTAGTTTAGGTTAAGTAAAAATCTACTGGGACCAAAAGAAATTTACTAATTCATATTTAAAATTTTGTATTAATAAAGAACGGCAATTTCAGTTTCAAAATATTTGGAATGAAAGAAAACAAGTGGTCGTTGCGGATTTACGAGTATCATCGTCTACAATAAAATTGTGCTTTTAATATATTTCCAGCCCAAAATGCAAAAATTCGTGGGCTTTTTTACAAAAGATACAAATTGTAGTGGCTTAACTATTGGTATATGATAACGATCGAGATGTCATTTACCATGTAATAGTTAAGACGACCGGAATCTGTGTGTAAAGGCTGGCACTGGTTTGGAGGGAGCTAAAGTTGTATGAAAATTGGCATATTGCTTCAACAAACTAAAGAATAACTAGTTGGCTTGCCTTTGTATCAGGAACGAAGAATCGCGAGTAAAACCCCGTAATCTTTAACGCATGCTTATGGATTGCCTGTTCATCAGGACCTGAGAGTAGCGTAGCGATTTTGGACAATAACATAAACTAAGAAAACAAACTTCAAAATCGAGTCTCAATGATTCCACGCCTTTTTCTGCCACCAGAGTGGCGACACTTAGTAATGAGGTGATATATTTGAAAGATATTTGTAACATTTCATAGCGGGGTAAGTTAATTTGTTAGAGATTAATGTTTTTTTTCTGAAATATTAGTTATATTTGATATTAAATAGACTAGAAATGGATAAACCAAACTACGAATACTTTTAAAAGAAGAAGAATAAATAAAAAGTTAAATTTTGTAAAAAATTAAAGAATACAACACTGAGACATTGTTTTGTGTGTATAAATACACAAGAAATCGAAAAACTTATAAATAAATCACAACATTTCAATGATGCTGACACTGTGTGACCATATGCATAACACCAGTAACACGGACTGGGGACATCTGGTGAGCGTAAGATTGTTACCCTTCATTGGCGAAGATATCGCATAACATATATAAAAATAAATAAAAGGAACATACAGTAAATACGTTTGTACGTGGTAGAGCCAAGCTGCAGCTATATTTATAGTATAGTTGTAGCACGAATGGGTCGGCTCGGCCGGGGAAGGACCACGCTCTCACAGGATACCAGCGCAAAATAGCAACTGTTTCGTATGGCGAATGTAGAGAACCGGAGACCCTTTTTACTGGAAAAAAGGCATTCCAACTTAGTCCTCAAGGATGACAACGCATCTGCATTTTAATTCGCAAACGAGGATAGATGTATATGTATATGGGCCTCAGCAACCACTTACCATCAGGCGGACTATGTGCTCGTCTATCACCCTATTTCTATTAAAAAAGGAAAAATGTGTACTACCTCCTAGCAGTGTAAGAATATCTACTATCCCATATCGTCTCAAGGGTGTCGTAAGAGGTGACAGAGATAAAAAGAAAACAGGAGATGGGCAACAGCATCTTCCTGATAACAACTCAAAATAATGTCGGTTGCCAATCCGCTTG